ACACTGTAGCTACAGTGTTAATAATTAAAGGGTATGAACCCTTTCAATTCTCACTTGAGAATAAATGAATAACCCCAATATAAACACCCTCTTTAATTCTCTCTCTCTCTACTATAATCCCCCTTCAAACACAATGAAAGCTGGAGATTAAATCGCTGCTGCGATTTCGGCGTTTTCGCCGCCGCCAGAGAAGAAAGATCGGAGGAGAGGGGGAGAAGCGCTACAGTTTCCAAAACCCTAGGTTGGGGGTTTATATAGGCGGAGATGAGGGGCTGGCGACAGCCTGTCGCCAGCGAATAACCCTGACACAAAGGTCGGGTTCGCCAAAAAGAACGCCGAGCTCGCCTGTGCTGCCGAAGATCGCCTGGACCTCGCCGCCTGTGGCTTCGCCTGTGACTACCGGAGCTCGCCTGCGTCATCCTAGAGCTCGTCGGAGCTCCTCCGCCGCCGGAGGTTGGTATCCACCCCCAACCTAACACTTTTTTCTAAAATCTTGGTGAACTGCCATGAAAAATAATCTAAAATTTGGAATCCTATATATTTCCCTCCATGATAAAAAATAATCTAAAATCTTGTTGAATGGGATTAAAAATAATCTAAAAGTGGGAATCCTATAACCCTCAATCCTTACCAAGCAAACCCAAAAAAAGAAAAAGAAAAAGAAATGTTATAACCAATCAGCAAACCAAACTATAACTCTCAATACTCACCACAACTTTGGAATTTCCGTGAAGTGGAAGGATTCAAATGGTATTAGAGCAATCTAGATTTGAATTCCGTTGGCAAGCGAAATTTTAAAAATTTATCCCTCTGCAAGAGTTCAGGTTTCTGCTCGTAAAAGGGGTGCTCAACGTAGAGCGTATGTTAAAATATAAAACTATCATACCTTTGAAAAAGTTAACATCTAATTTCTTATATTTGATAATACCGAAGTTCTTTCCGCGGCCCCGAAATATGGTGATTTAAGTAGTCCGGCACAATTACCATATGCGTGTCCAGCAGATGCTACACATAAGTGACTCCGGCCGGTAGACCAAAACAATACTAAAGCAGTGCTGCAAAGAGCACGACCCAATGTCATCAAACCCTGACGTGTATTCAAATGAATTTCTTTGGCAAAGTTTGTTATCATATGAGGTAGATTTGCAGTGGAATCAGGGAACGTTCCCACGTCTAAAAACAAAAACAGCGCTGCCGCTCGTAACAAGATAAAGTTGTTGTTACTAGAGCTTAATTAGGAGCGTTTCACATAATCCAAAAACCTAACAGATACCCGGCCGAAATCAAAAGAAGGAAACAACTGATATACAACGCGATTCGCCGGCGCTGAACAAGATGAGGAGGTTCGTGCTTGGTGGAGTTATGGCTTGATCTTGTATGCGCATGTTTCGCATTTTGTCAACAATTGAAAAAAAAAAAATAAAAGAAAAGAAAGATTGGCCGGCACCTAATTCGCCCGATTCAGCGTAATGGAAGCAAACTCCTCTATATATAGCATACACTCGTCTCATAACATCTTATCCCTTCAAAACACAAAGCTTAATTACAGGCAAGAAGAGCTAAATATAGAAATGGCTTCTCAAATTCATGTGCGGGCGGCATCTTCCTTCGTTCTGCTCCTGCTGATCGTAGGATGCAGCACCGCAGTACTCGCTGCTTTCATCAACGAGGAACACATCACAACTACTTGCAGGTACGGAGCGAACAGCGTCAACAGAGGGAACTTCCACCTCCCTCCGGGGACAACAAGAAAGAATTTGGAGATGAAGAAGACCAAGACACGCCGCGCCCTCCTTCAGAGTGACGATATATGCTACACGCTGAACGCAGCGTTATGCAACGAATGCGTAGAGAAAGCGAGGAACAAAGTGTGGCGTGATTGTCTTGCGTATACTGGGGGCAGGGGGTCTGCTTACGTTCCCGCCATCTGCTCCGTCTCTATTTAATAATCACTGCGCAATTCATATTGCATAGTAATTACTATCTAAGTTTATCTTCTGCTCAGTTATTAACTAGATTGGTGCGTGAGATTGAGTTTAATTTAGAAGTATTGAGTGTGTTCCTTGTTGCTTTAATAATGTATTGTTCGCAGCAATACGAGGTCGTGTTACCAGTTGTTATTGATTAATGATACGTATTTGGACAATATATATTATTGAAAATGTTCCTGTTCTAATTATCATAACAAATTATCCTACAAATGTTCTATTTTAATTTTTCTGTCTAATTGACTAAACGCCTTCAAGGATGATGGTGGTGGTTAATTTCAATCACGGCAGATAGCTTTTTCCAAATCTTGGTGAATGCAATGAAGAAATAATCTAAATTTGGAATCCTATAAATTTATCTCCATAATGCAAGATGCATAAGTCCGAGCAGAAGGATTCATCACTTCCACCAAAGAGACTTATAATTTGGGACGAGATGTGCTCGTGCTCGCGCTCGCTGAGGAACATTCCCTGGATTTATGAAACTGCGTACACGCGGGAGGTAGGGTTGTACGCCGGACAGAATGTGCTCAATGCAACTACGGAGTTGGCAATGACGACCATGTTTGTTCTTCGAACACCGCGATGAGCGAGTTGCTGTTGAAATGTGGGGGAGTGCCGGTGGAGTTTCTGTGGGGACGTGGTGCGGTAGTACTGTCACGCTCGTTGAACGTTAGCTATGAGGCCGTTGTGGATGGCTATGTTTGAATGTGTTGTATAGTTTGTTTGGGTTCGTACCACGTTCTGTATTGGATTTGGATCCTCTCCACTATAAAAAAAGTAGTGGAGAGACCACTACTTTTAATCTCAATCGTTGATTATTTAGTAGACGGTTATGATACAAAAAAGTAGTGGAGAGACCACTACTTTTAATCTCAATCGTTGATTATTTAGTAGACGGTTATGATACAATCTAAATCTAACACTTACCCACTACTTTTAATCTCAATCGTTGATTATTTAGTAGACGGTTATGATACAATCTAAATCTAACACTTACAATACCCCCGCGTATTGCACTCATTCCTAATTTGCACTAAAAGAAAAAATCATAACCACAAACTAGATAATCAATAGCTGTGATAATGAATTGGTCCCTCCACTATTTTTTAGTGGAGAGGATCCGAATCCGTTCTGTATATGCTTTTTCCGAAATCATGTCGATACTATATATTTTTTTAATATTTGGGGCTAAATTCCATAAACCCCCTTTAACTTTGAAAGGTTGTCGGATAACCACCCTTCATATATAACTTTCAAAATACCAGAAACCCTCCGATAAGTTTAGGGGTTATCAGGAAACCCCCTTTATCTTTAATAATTTTTTTTAAAGAAAGCTTCCCAAAAGAATTTGACGGAAGAATGAAAATAATAAGAATGAAACGGCTGCTTCTTAAGTCCATAGTCGTATTGTATGTTCACGAACACGGATCCTAGTCAGTCATATTATTTGGCAATTAAGAGATCACCGTCTCAATTTTAAAATTTTGATGATGTTTAAACGACCGTGATCCTTTCCTTGATATAGCCAACGTCATATCCCTCCCTATCGTTGTAAAGATTTTTCCTTTGGGCATCAGCTTTGCTGGATGACCAGAAAGAATTTATCAATCATTCCGGTATTTATCAAACCCACAAAATAGAAGGATGGTTAATTCCAGAATCTATCAGTGATCATACACTTAACATGCAGAAGACCGCATAAAAAAGATGCTATGAGAACAATATAGAAATGATTTCAAACTAGAAATGATCAAGATCATAGGCCATTGGGAATTCATTGCCTCATCATATACTATGTTCTGTGTAATTTAACTCATCCGTGTATATACTGAACACCAACTTTCATCAAGGATTCATCATCCTATGTATATTTTCTGCATCAACCAATCTTCCAGCTTTGACGCAACCCAGCTAAGGTTGTGAGTTTCAGCCCCTTACCACGCATCTCATTGAACAACTTTAAAGCCTTGTCGATACTCCCAAATTTACAATGTGCATTGATGAGTACATCCAAAAGTTTATGGGATTCAACAACCTGAAAGGTGTGGCAAACGGGTCGGGTCGGGTCATAGGTG